TCAATTTTTCAGTCGAAACTTTGTTTCCGTCGAATTTCGAATAAATTGAGACTTTGAGCAAGTCAGGAGGTACATTTGTGTTTTCTGATTTAATCTGCAGTAATTTTTTTGTTTTATATATTAAAATTGGTTTTACATTACGCATTTTTCAAACTACCCATTGTTTAATGGAAGGTATCGTTCTTTAGTTAATCTTCGGACGGCGGACCATGGAGAGAGCCATAATTTTAATATCCTTGCATATATTTTGTAAATTTGTTCAAGGGTTAAAATAGATGGATATTCAATAAAATACTTAATTCAATGTTGTAAACATAAAAAAAACTCTTCCAGCAATCGAACAAGCTTGCATAAATCCAAAGAGAAGTTATCTCGGTTGTTCAAGCTCAATAAATCGTAATCTTTCAACTGAGACATATTAAAACACAAGAGACGTTGCGCACGCGAGACAAGATAGAAAACGGTGAAAAACGAGGGAAAAAGTGGTTCATAAGTATTCCTGCAGCGAGGTTTCCATAGAAAGTGTACCGAAATCGATGAAATCCTCTGCTGGCTTTTCCTTTTTCATCCGCGATCCAGTTGATACTGTGCCACGGGTCCTCGATGCCAGGTACCTATACTTTCTGCTCCTTCGATGAATTCCCCGACACGTTCGGTTTTATCGGCAAACAGTCGACGACCAGAGTTTCAGCTTGTCTAAATTCATTCGTCGAATCAATTCTACGCTGTCAGTTTATTTCTAGAACGATCGCAAGGGGCTAGATTTAGTACAGGATCGATTGATACCGATTAGTTTACGACATTCAGAGACGAATTAATTTCGTTCCTTGGGGGATTGCGATTAATCCACCAAGGCGACGAAATTGCGTGCCAACATGTATAAGAAACATCCGCAATGTCCTCATGATGTTTCGTTCCTCTTAAAATAATTGAAACCATTTTTCATAATTCTTGAGTTTACAAAGTATAATTTATATTTGAAATTGGTAGACCTTTTCATACATCAAGCATGTATTTTGAACGCCTCGATAGCTAAAAGTCGACAAAAAATTAATAATCCTAATGAAATGAAGGTGTTAGCGAGTCAATTTATCAGGATTATTGGAAATTCGAATTATTATTCCCTGCGTCGTAGCAGACACACGATAAGAGTTTGCCGCGTTCGGGAAAAATAATATGTATTTAAAATAATGCCGTATCTAACCCACCCACTGGCCAAACCAATTACTTTTGTCCGAGTTCACCCCGTTCGAAAGTGATTCCCGTTACTTTTACCAGCCCATTAAATTCTCCAAGCGTTTCAGACAGATTTTGCATTCGATGCGCACAATGTGTGTTTACTCTCACGTTCGAAAGATATTTTTCGATTCTGATCGAACCACCGTAAACGAATTGCCACCATTCACGTCCAGATGACACGCGAATCATTCCGTTAACTCGACAAAGTCTACTACATACGTTGACGCTTTATAAATTAAGAATAGAAACAGTTAAATTTTTCAATTATTAAAATAGCCATGTTATTCCATGTTTTCCTTCCGGAAGGTATATAGATATTTTAGCTTTAATTAGGAGCTATACGAATTATCCCCGAGTTTTCAAAACATCCCAGCTGGTAAATCAAACATCGTCGAGCTCGAGGAATATTAATGAACTTCAATGAAAGTTGAAGTGCAGTGAAACCGCGGCAAAAGGCTGGAACACGTACGATTCTGCAGCCAGAGGCCGCGAACTTCTCTTTTATCGACTTCTTTTCTCGTCGTCTATTGTACGTCGATTCGACGGAGGGTCTGAGGGGGGATCTCGTATTAAAAGCCGAAACACAGACGCGTCGTCGGCGGTCGTATTGTTCGGCACGAGGAACCGTAACGACGATGCAAAAGACTCTTGACCTCTTTCCGCAAGCAGCCTCGCACTTCACACTTTATGTTTCCACGTAATAATCGGCAAACGCGAAAGGACAGACGCCCCTAAAGAGTTCCTATGTATTTTTGCATCTGTGTCGGTGCACGCGTCTTCTGAAGCCAGAAGACATTCAGGAAACCCTCGACGTGTTTCAATTTCATGCGACCACAATGGAAATTTTAATTTTCAAATGGGTGTGCGGTCGTGGATGAAGGTTCAATCGTTTCTGGTAGAATTGAAAATTTTACTTTTGCATATATGCAACGATGCAGCTAACAAATTCTATGCATCTTTTTTTAAAAAAAGGAATAGCATTTTTTGTTGTATTAATCGATTTTTTGGAATATTCTGACTAGAAAAGTGATGTAGGGTATGATATTGAAAATATTAACAGAGATGCAGTTGCACTTTCTAGATGCATCGTTGCACTCTGTGTAGAATGTACTAACATTTATATATGTTGGACTTTGTTTCTATTTCATACTTAACCTTGGTAATTTCATTAACACCACGTCGGAATAATGAATTTTATTCGGTCATTAAACGAGTCATTCGTCAGATACGAGTGCATCCATTATGGGGTTGTATAGTTGTCTTTAAACGAAATGGCGCCGGCAATGGCACTATTCTTTTGCCATTTAACGGTCATTCACTACCTATAAATAATAATATCGACGAGTATTTAATAAAGAAATGGAATTCAGAATGCTTGTATGTTTCGGTTGAATTGGATTTCAATTGAAATAGCCTTGAGCCAAGTTGATTTCATTCGTGTTATTCACTGACGCGTGAAGACATTCAGCTACTTGTAAGATTAATGACGAATGAAGTACGAGTATTTGAAAATATATGTGCCGATCCTAAGATGTCTTAAGTCTTTAGATCTTAGAATCCTAGATCTGGTGTCTATAGTTCAAGGATTGAGATCTGGGATGTGGAATTAGAGATTTTTCGATTAGTTTTAGGTGTTTTTGGTTTGAATTTCGTTTAATTTTCAAACTTTCGTTTTCTAAACAACTCACAACATTCGGAAACAATGAAGTTTCTATAAAACATTTATTTCTTGGCATGTCCACTAATACTATGCGAATTTCAATGGTGAAACCGCTTTACATCAACTGTGAAAAGCTTGTTTTGCCGACGAATAAATTCAGTGACAGTTCAGTGAAACCTGGATCGCTTGTCGACTCCTGATTCAACCAACACGGTGTTTAAGAACTTAATAAACTTTCTATAAATGTTCCTAAGAAATCACGAAATTCGGATTTCTTTATACTCACTTAATTTCCTAGATCCTTTGAAAAAAGATTCTTTTCTTTAGTTTTATCACTGTTTTATATGACTGGAAAGAAAATTTCATATTTCTACTCAAATGCTTTTAATGCATTTCAGTTCCTAAACATTGAATAAGACATTCAATTACCTCATCATCGTCTATAAAACTTTCATGTCTATCAATAAGATTTACACTCAATTTCGCAAAACAAATAATTCAAACAGAAAATTGATATTCCTGTTTTTCATGCAATATATAAATACCATTCATTTCCTCCATTCTATATATTTTTTTTCATACATTAGCGGTGTTTAACGCGTGTCGCGAATAAATCACAATCTCAAACACCTCCATCTCCGCAACAAGCCGTGTACACGGAAACGAGTCTATATTTTAAATTTATCGGACAATTTTATGGAACAAACACATCTCCTTGCCACTAGTCACATTTTGATTTACTAGAGTACAATAAATCTCGCTGAAACATTCGTCTTACGATTGCCTCTTTCCTCTCGATTACCGTCGAACATATGTATTTCGCACATTCTTTTTATTGCAGTGAGAAGACATATAAAATTGAATAATGCATTCAATTCATAGATCCTTTTCTTTGATATAGAGATCGATTTTAATTCAGAGGAAAATACATCGTATCGATACAAGTAAATTAATTCTTAAGGTGTACAATTTTTATTATGTACGAAAAGAAAAGTAATTTTCCTGATTAGGAAATTATTCACTTAACAGGTTGTAGGATTTCTGAAAGGCACACGTTTCGGCTTTATCGCAAAAACGATCGTGGGTTACGGTTCCCCACTTATTTGCATGATTCTGTCCGCGTTACGTTCACTTTTCCTCGCTTAATTTGACCGCGTGATTACCTTGGAAGGTTCTTGCCTTGGTTAAACCATTGTCTGGTCTCGAATTCCTCTGAATTCATAGTAGAACTATGTTGTTTCACCCCGGTGCGACACGTTGATCCAAAATTACTTAACGAGGAAGTAAGGACTTTAAAAAGAGCACGAAGAAGTGATGCTGAAGCAATAGAATTTCTATTTACTTTAATTAAATGATTGAAACGAATCAATTTGCTAGATATTTCTTTGTTGAATATTTGGTTAGAGAACTTTGAGGATATTTTAAGAGAAAGATTTACTGGTTCTTTTCTCCTATTGAAAAACTAATTCACTTTGCAAAGCAGCGCGTTGTTGAATATCAACTTTTTCCGAACCTTGGCCGTGAAAGTCAGCGAAATCTTATTCGTTGGGTAAATTTGAAATTGATCTCACGTACCATTCTGCACGCGTACCGACACGTGTGTCTTTCCACCATTTGTCCGTACCAGATTGATTTCAAATTGTAAAGTAAGAATTCAACCACTGTCTTTCTTCCTATGCAAAAATATGGGGATCAACTTTAAGTTCTTCCTAGGTTTCTTGAAAAGAAAATGGGAGAGGTTTTTCTGCTACTCTTAGCTAAAGCTCTCTCTAAGCTTTCTCTGCGTTCCTCCTAGGTTCTCCCTGAGCTACCCATGGCTTCTCCTGTACTCTCTTTAGGTTCCCCCTGGGTTTTCCTTAGGTTCTCCCTAGGCTCTCTTTAGTCTCTCCCTACGTACTCCCTAGTCTTTCCAAAAACTCAAGGCAAATGATAACTCTTCGCCAAATCTAAGTTGCCCCTAAGTGTACACTAGATGAAATTAAATAAAATGCAAGGAACGAAGCAGGTGGGCGCAGGTGGGTGCAACGCGATCGCCGCGGTGGTCAGTGGCCGCTGAAAGCGAAAGGACGAACATCGTACGCGCGAAAAGGGGGGTAAACGGTGGATATACGAACGGCTTGTACACGTTGGAATCATTTGCCAGTTTCTTGGCCGGTACACACGAGCTAACCAGGCCGCGAAACGATACTCCGTTCACCGTGTCTTTCATCGTTCAACCGATCCGAGCGACGTTGAAAGTCTACCTTCCGCTTTGTGGGGAACCTCGTGGACCGAAAGTGGTGGACGTACGACCGGCGTTCGACCGCGGCCAATGCCAGTCGCCAGTGAAACGTGAAACGCGAAACTGGGCGAAAGTTTCGCCTTGTTTGTGGCGAACAAGAGGTAGGGCGGATTTGTCATAGTCCACCTGCGGCAAACGCGAATACATAGGGATCTTGTTAAGAGCTCAACCGGACGATCCGAACGGTTCATTCGGATGACGGGTGTCGTGCGGTGTCCTTGCACTTGGTGCGTTTATGTGCTCTCCGTTTACGGTTACTTCCGGTCGAGCGTGGACTGAATGAACATTTATAGAATTGAGGTTCGAGATTGTTACTGTGGGGTATACCTCGATGGTGTCTTTGGGTTCGTACGTGCTGCTAGGGAACTTTAGGTAAGATAGTTAATTCAATATTTCTTCAGCTTGATAGAAGAGGAAGGTATTCCAAAAATGATTAATTTCCAGATATATGTGAAACTCTGCTTTGAATCTGCTTGTTACTTAGCAAATCAACGATATTGCAAATAATTTGAAGTATAATTATCAATAGACTTGTCCTCGATTCCTCTATTTATTATCATTTCATTGTGTACTTACATTATTTCAATTCAATTGTTTGCGAAATTTTTCTATCCTATAATCATCTATAATTTTCCTCATCACAGATTCTGAATAGCCATCTACAAAAAAGAGAAACAGCCAAGGCACGATGTCCTTGTCAATAATTCTTTTCAAAGTGTTTCAAAACTCATACTCTGCCGTGATCGTTGGTTCGTCGATCGAATAATTAAATACAATTTTTGGATTTTGTCTTGGGATAGTTGGATCGAATCTTAATTATCACGTGGACGTGTTAACAGGACCAATAACAAGATATCGAATCGCGCGTTTGCGCCATTAAGACAGATACCGTTCACTCGCGCAACACGAAACACGTAATTGAGCGAAAGTTTAACCTCCCGCTCTCTGTTATACCGAGCGGAAGTGTCGTTACACCGTTTACGAGCTTCTTATTAAACGCTTCCTTTGGATCCTTGCGTTGCGGAGGTTGCCGGAAACCACACCATCGTTTGCATAGCCACGATGCCTCATCAAGTTCCTTTATCTTGAAAGGGTGCATATGATCGAGATTAATCCTCTCCACATTTATATTACATGTGTAATGGCTTCCTCAGTATTTTCCTCACAAAGGTTCTTCCTAAGCTCCCCTTGGGTTCGTTCAAGATTATTCCTTCCTAATTTTACCCTTAATTATACCAATGCAGCCCAAATCTTACAGTATTTGTATCATTTGTCAATGTAACCTAGACTCCAAAGCATTTGATTTACCCTTCCTTTTTTTGCATCATTCCCCTAGAGAATCGTTACCATTTTTCCTAGAGAAGCTTAACTCGTAGCCATGCTCGACACTTTACATGCGTGAATCAATATCCTTGAAATATCCTGGATACTCAGAGCGTTCCATTGTCCCATTGAAAAAAATATACGAATCCATTGGTCCAGGATAAACGTGTTTTCTCCGTAGCGCACGAATCGCGAAGCAAACCTCTAGCTTTTGTTCGCTGAAGGACGAGCAGAACGGGATCACTGATAATAATCCCTGCAAAGAATTCGCTTGAAGCAGCGTATCCGATTGTCGTGCCACCTCTGTTATCCTGGTTCCCGGTAATCGGATCGTGTCGTCTTCGTAGAAAGCGTTGCGCAGCGTCCTTGCACTTGGTAACGCCTGGAAATTTATACGGCTTTCATTCCTTTGCTACTTTAAAGTAGGTTCTATGTTTCACTCGTGCCTCCTTCTCTTCATTGCTATCCGCCACTATTTCGCTTCTTCCACAGCCTCTCCTAGAATCGGCTCTTTATCAAGGTCAAGTACAGTGATTCAAGCGGTATCATGATTCTAACGCGGGTGGAATGCTCGTGGGATACGATGCCTCTGTGATTTGGTCCCTGGGAACTGGATTATTATGCGCTGAGAATTACGCGAGAGAAGCTTTTCTTTTTGAAATTTTAGGGATAGGAACGTGTTGATTAAAGGAATATGGATATAAAAAAGATGTATTATAAAGGATAAGAAAAATTAACGTGAGAATATGCCTAGAAATTCTGCGCAATTAGGGCGAAAATAGAAATTTGATTAACACGTAAAATTTGTAAGCCTCGGAGGATATCATTTTATTCAATCTTATAAAAATTGAATTATATAGTCGTGAAAGTTGATGGATATTAAATGGAAGATTTTAATATTCTACGTCTTGTTAATTAGGATTTATAAACGATGATATATTGCAATTAGGCCTGACCTTCTCTGGTCTCCCAAAGTTAATCTGCTCAACGCTTTTTTTTTTCTATAAAAAGTGTAAGTGAAACCGCTTCTGAAAGAAAGAAAAAAACACTTACATAATACATAGTTTTTATTTCATTTAATTTTGTTGAAAAGGACCCCGTGAATGATTGCTTCCATGTTTCAAGGATTGCTTTGAAGAGGAGATAGAAATTGGAACTGTACTTTATTGAAAGAGAAAAGGTTCCAGGTTTAATTTTCTTTCATTGTAGAAGTTTCAACTAGGAGACGAAAGGGAAATAGCAAAGGAGGTTTGATTTTGCGTTGACGTTACTTTTAAATAATTCATGCAGGAGAAATTTTTATCTTGGTCCTTGTTATTGTGGAAGGAAGTTGTTAGGTGCAGTGTAATTCACCTTAATGATTTATAAATTGCTGGTTTATTAGAACGATACATACCATAATCATAGCAGCGTATCGCGATATTAAAGTAATAAATTTAATTGTTTCAATTATTTATCGCACGGACAAACTTTCATTTGCAAATCAAATCGGTACGAACGTGAAATTAAATATATATATGATTTGCGATATTAGGAGTTTGATTAGAACAAACAATTATTACCATAGTTTCGTCACCTACAATCTGGCAATTAACTTTTTGGAGTTAGGCTACAATTGTGCTGACAGTCTCATTTAACAATTACAAACAAAAAATCATGCGATACCTCGTACTTTGAATTTAAAAAAGTGTCGTGTCATTCATCTTACTCGGTATTACGGTTCATTTATCTCATCAGTCACTGCTTTTAAATTAAGACGTTCTTCATACGGAAGCGTGTTTCAGTTCAAACAGTCAGCAAAAAAGGAAAGTCCATCTGGAGTGTCAATTAAAACAGCGGCCAGCTAGTTAAATCAAGCTAATGATAAAGAAAGAAATGAGATATTGTTCTTCAAAAGAGAGTTGCTTGTTGAAGTTTTTGATCTATTTTGAGATCCTCCGGAGTAGATCGGATTGATTGGCAGCCGCGATTCGCGTAATGCCAATTTGTTCGAGTTACGCTTACTAGCACCGTCGAAAGTGAAATCGTAGCGTGTAAAAACGTCGACACAGATTTTCTGTGATAATCTGTCGCTAAGTTTTTAACAATCTTTCTTTGCCGCTACAGTTTTGTAACAAATAGATACAATCTGATTTACTTAAATACAGTTTCACGCTTCATATTCATTTCATCGAAAGGAACTTATTATAGAAAGTAATTTTCTAATCAATTATATGCAATCAAATGGTGTGGTACTAAAAAGGTAGCGTGATCGAGCAAATTAGAAAATAAATTTCCTTCTAGTTTTCGCATCCGAATATGCTGCAAGCTTCATTTTCAAATCTGCTGTGTACAAAAATTTTGAGTACATGAATTTTCAAATTCCAATTTTTAAAAACATTCTTAACTCATTCTCAGTCGTTGAAATCGCAAAGGGTTAATATTATCCTCTCTTCGTTCCATCGATATCATTACAATTACCCTGAAAATTCATCCCATAGTGTTTATATCCTCGAGAAAATAAAGCAGGCTCGTTTCCCCGTTACGTGAACCCTTCACCAGGAATAATTTCATTTTCGCTCGTCCTCAGAGCGTTTCCTCGTGGACGAGCGTCCCGCTTCCCAAGCCCTGCACAATTTACACAATTTCACCGCCAGGAACAATTAACACGACATACCATCTGCGCAGATGTATTACTAGCGTGCTTTCTCTTTAACTTGAACTTAATTGCACGGCAAACGCGTCGGCCTGGCCGCTTCCCTCTCGACGCAAACACTGTTACGCCTCGAAGCCGAGTTGCATCGTTTTCTAGGCGACTTCGATTCAACTACTAACGCTATCCCTTCCCTTTCGAGTTTAATTACTCCTTAGAACGGCTGTTTCTTCTGGTCGGAACAAAAACCGAGCAGATTCAGCCGCGACCCCGCTTTTACGAGCGTCAGGATGCGTCTGGTCGAGCAAGATGTGGCGTCATGGTGCGCCGCGTTTACAGAGTTCCTCAGCCGATCATTCACCGTAAATAATTTCAGACATGTGCGAGGGTAAGCCGTGATTCAAGAAGAAGAAGAAGAAGAAGAAGAAGGAATGAACATGATGCGATCAAGAGGAACGCTTTCTTTGATTTCGACGATGGTGAAGCGATGTTTCCTCGCGACCATTCTGGTGCTCGTCCTGAGGCTTGATCAGATAGCAGGTACGTTGTTGGAATTTTTTATATAATTTGGGATTTTTATATTAATTTGGGAATTTAATACCAGTGATCACCAGGAATTTAATATATTTATTAAGGTTAATGACGTTAGTGAGATTAACTCTTGCAAGGGGATGCAGGATCGTTTTTTATTTCATTGAATATCCATAATTAACAAATGATCAATGACTATAACTTTAATATTTTTATAATAAAATAGACGGCTATGAATAATTTTCAGTTAACTGTGTCGCATCATATATTGATATTTTCACTGTCGCAGTGAACGGATCAACCCTATATCTACCATCACCCAATACTTTTGACTCTTCACGTATTAATAACTTTTGTTGTTATTAAATTTTACCTATTCTGCGCTTGTTTTGTTACAGAAGAATTTTAAGTATATGCAGATATTAAATACGACCCAGACACTGTAAAAATATTAACAAACACGAGAGATGTTCAGTTTGCCGTAACTTTTCGCGCATCTGAAACTTTTTTTTTTCGACCGCGAATTATTCAAGCGCAACTCCGTGCCAGGTTTTTACTCGCTGATGGAAAAGCAACTCGTCGAGCTTTACGCCACGCATAATGAGAGGAAAAATAATGAAAATAACGCGGCGTTAGTCTTGTAAGATATTTTCTTCCCCTCTCTTGAACCGCAAGGTAAATACAACCGGATAAATCTATTCCTGACCTACTATTGTATACGACGATTACAGGGAACGTTGTTCCCTGCAAGAAGATGGACCGTTGATTCCCATCGTTACCATTTCAGATCGTGAGATCAAGACCTCGTTCGTATTCAAGCTGCGATTTGTTGATCGTTAATGAATGTTCGCTGGTTCGTTTCTGCTGAACTGAATTAATTAAATCGACGTCTTGTTAGATTCGCGACACTGATCTTCCTTATTTCGCATTCGAAATTAGACATTTTTGATGGTTAGAAACTAATAATCGTAAAATAAATTCACATGGTGATAATAAATTTTCTTAATAAATAAAATTCAAAGATAGTGTTAAGTTTACGCTACATTTGCAGAGGACTTTTCGATAGCGATGGTAGCTTGTATTTCATCTCTGGCTTTGGTTCAAAGTTTGGCGAGTTGTGTTTTCGTTTGATATATTATTTTCTCTCCGAGTCTTTGGAAACGATCTCTTTGACAGCTCTCCAAAAGTAAAAGTTTCCTACTTTCTTAGTGTACGTGTTCCTTCCTGACTCTTCGCCTCGTTACTTTTAATTATTTTCACGGAGTATTCACATCTACACGTGTACATAGATTAAAAAGAAACACGTACACAGTGTCGGAAAAAGAGACTCAAGGCTATAGGGATGAATAATATGAAAAATATAATTGCAAGTATGGAACAAAAAGTGTTGACCTATTAACACATTTCTGCCACAATACTTTTGCCAAACTTTTAGCAATCATTTATTCTAAATAGTTAACACTTTAATGATTATTTAAAATTACATTTGAAAGTTTGACGAAGTTTTTGAATCAGTTCATCCCTCTTAGCTTAACAATCCTTTAACGCTATTCTTTTCTAAAATGCAGCCTGTATCCTTGAGCAGATGGCACCGTAGATCCTTTTCTTTTTAAGACGTTACATTGAAATGTTGTCGCGTGAAAACTCGTCTTATTCAGGCAGCAGCTGTGAAATAATATATCGAGGCCAGGAAGGATCTTCGATCGCGAGCATAACGAGCGTTTAACTACGGCTTTGGCTCAGGAATTCCGCTGGATCCTTTTTCATCCTTGAATTAACAAGGACACTCTTGAAGGGATGAAGCGAAGAAGGGCTGGAATGCGGCCTACAATGTAATGTCACGTAGCAAAGCTACTTAAACGCAACCAACACAGAGGCAACTTTGAAAACAACCTTTGCAGAGAGACCGAGTTGAAATGTTTGAGAGTTTAGTGTAACTTGTGTCCGATAACCAGTATGAATTCCAAAGGAAAAACTTTTTTATTCGAGTAAAGAATCGGTAACTTGGCCGAATCGTTCCAATATTCTTGATTTTATAGCTCTAATACAAAGAGACAAAGTCTACCGAAAGACTTTTTGGCACCACAGGAGGATCGTTCATCAAAGCTGAGCGAAAGTAGGCAAGCATATACGAAAGGCAATTACTGTAATCGCAGCTGTGTACCCTAAAATATAATCAGGAAGGGTGGCCAATGATGTATGGGCATGTCCAGTTATACGCTCGTGTCCACGACGAAGTTCAGTCGAACCCGATGGAAGCGCGGAAACGTGCAAAAAGCCGGCCGACCTTGTTCCACTTCCGTCGAAGCTTTAGGGAACGAGCTTACTTGTGTAAATGCTACACAACACGTGCACCAGCCGCGGTCGAGCCGTTTCGTTATGTAATCGTTTCGTTATGTATACTGGCTGTTTCAGAATTGAAAGCTCTTTGAGTGGCGAGCATTTTGATGGTTATCTTTATTAACTCTTTATTGTCTTCTAAGAAGAGCTTTTGGATTGATATAATCACATCTTAATAAGTTCTTATACGTTGATATCAATTTCTTTGTATACACTTTGGGTGTAGATCACCGGTCAACCACTTTGGAGTTTAATATTGTCCACTAATGAATATTTTATTTTTCATGGTATTTCCAAGATTTTCTTGGTAAATGTAAAATTCTAAATTTTCTATGAACGATTAATAATTTAATACATTACCGATTCCTAACATAGTACTGTTGCTCGAATTCCAAACTCAAAAATTGTATTTTATTTCATTAAACGACTAATTAAAATCCATGTGTCTATTTAGAAGAATTGAAGGTAACAGATTTTTAAACCGTGGGTCATCGATTCGTGTGTTCCTACACTTACGAATTTCTAAGAGCAATTTACATTTAATCAATAGAAACAGATATAAAAGTGGAACGATGACACAGTTTTCTTTAATCAACCCGTCCCATCCGTCTGTTTAAAATATTTAGTTTATCTCGGTTTATTTCGGAGGGTAGTCAGTATCTGAAACGAGGTTGCCACACAACAGACATTTGAAAACATGTACGAATATTTACTCGAATCTTGAATTATTCAACATTCTCAATTCTTCATAGAATAGGAAAACATTATTTTCCAATTTATTGTATGAATTAGGTTTTTAAGTACACAGCTATTTTTTTATCGATAAAATTTTCTATAAAATTGCATTCTATATTCTGAAACAGCTCGTACAATTTGAACAATGCAGCATACGGAAAAACGTATAAATACGTCGTGTGCCGTGCATCCATTGTCGAATTCATCGTAGAATGCTGCGGATCCGCCTGCGACGTTTCTTCTGGCTGCCTCTGAAAAGTAATTCTCCGGGAATCGAGTCGAGCGAGCAAAAACAGAGCAAAAGGGGTAGAAAGGAGAAGTACAGGAAGATGTGAGACAATCGAAAGAAAGAGAAGAAGTGGAAGGATGAGATGGAGCAAGGAACAGGAAGAGACGAAGGGAAGGCGACACGAGCAAAAAGAAATGCGAGATTTGCGAGGGGATTTCTTTAAAACGGTCGCAGTCCTTCTTCTGTCTATCTGCGATTCTCGAGAGCGTGCTTCCGAATGATTCGACAGTTCCTATGGCCGGAATTTCCGCTGAATTATGCGTCTGCTATTTTAACCGGAAATCAATCTAGCATCGATTGCTGTCATTCATTTTGGAGAAATAAAAATATATTTCTCACTATTCTATGTGCCAGCATAGAATTTTCACAAGGAGAGAAAGGGTTAATAATTCGAATTAGTCACTTTTACACGTCTGAATTTATTTAATTTAATTAAAGTAATTTGGATATCATTCCATGTCGATTAATCAAAGTGCGTCAAACAAGCAGTCAAATAAATTTAGTGTCAGGTGGAATTTTTAATTAGTCATAGTTGCGTAGCATTGTCCATTAAACTTGTTATACGATTGATAACCGTAACTGGAAAAACCAGCCGCAAAAAGAATGTCGAATCGATCGACCGCACTTTGATGCGTGTCCGACTGTTAATATCGACTTAGAATCAAACATGCGGTCAGGTGAAAGTATCCAATGATACGTGTATTCTGTATACGTGTATATTGGCGAGTGTTTAGAATCGTATAGGGTAACGAGAGTAGTGAACCTTGCATCGAGACGGGTAAACGATAATGGCAATTATCATTATTTAAATAACGAAGTCAATCCTCATCAAAAATTCTTGATATGTATGTGTAATTTTTTTTACTGGGATTTTGGTTTCTTAATTATTTGATACACGATATATCATGCAGATAACATAAATAGACAAGAACTTTAACGCCTTGATGGCCACATATTTCATGGAATTTATTATTCTTGCAACTTTATTTTCCTTTGTAAATGAAGTTCATTAACAGGTTTCCGAAGGATTTCTATATCTTAAGAAGTTAATAGCTTTTAATTAACACGTGATGTAATAGATACTGTAATAATAAAGGGTTGCGTATCAAAAGATTGATCAACTCAAAAAAGCTATCAGTGACTAATTACAGATTGAGAATATTTCTTTCCTCGTTACCATTTCAGATCGTTGAGTTGGTCTGAAAAATCGCGAACAATACAGGACGCTCGGCACGATCCCTAGATCGCCGCGATGATCGTAGCCCTGAATAAATTGAGATAACATCTGGCACGGTGGGACGTGAACTTCCTTTGCTGCCGGGTTACCTACGGTTTCCCTATCGTCCCTCGATCTTTTCCCTTTCGTAGTCGGAAACAATGTTTTATGCCTGCGTCCAGCCAGAGTCAGGCTAATTAGTCGGACTGGATTCACTTATTGTTAGAACATGAATCCAACACTTGGCGCGAATGAAAGCTTGATATGACTATCCGTTTTTCACGCAACGAAACGTTTCATGAGGATATTTTTTGACTAGGCTGTCTTTGAATTTCATTTAACCCATTACATTATTACCTGAATCTCTGACCATTGGACGGTTAATTGAGGCATTTAAATGGAAAGTCTATGCTATTGTTTCAGGAAAATGCAGAGATGGTTTTTACACGTAAATTATGCGAGTTTTACTTTCTTATAGATAGAAAAGAAACTTGGGTTTTTATTCACTTTCTTTTCACCTTTCATATGTATCTTTCATATCGTATATAATTGATTTCAATTTAGTTAGGAAATTATTAGAGCAGTAACAAGATTCTCTAAAGTTTTTCATGGAAAAACTGTAACCGTCATCGCTCGTTTACCTTTCACTGTATAAAGAGGAATATTTCATAAGTATTATGACGTTTATTAAATAAATATCCATAACTGTTAAAATATAACAGTTCTCTCCGTACATATAAGAAACAAGGTCGATCCATTAATTCGCCATTTGTGCTTCTTTGTGTCATCAAGTGTTTCAATTCGTGGTATTCTAATCACGGTTCTTGGTATTCATTACTTGAAATTCTTCAATCTCTGTTGAAAGGAGCACAAGAAAAGAGCAGTTCTTTTTGCATAGGGGACAAGGAGTCTAATGATGATTTTCGATTTTCTCCAGACGCTTTACGGGAACAAATGACGGGTCTGGCGATGTAAAGTCGTGCCGGGCGAGCGATGGATGCGTTTTCAAGCAGATAACCGTCGACCTTTTCGAACGCTTCCTGAACGACGAGAAAAAGACTTGATTACGTTGGCCGGCGTTACGGCACGTTGAACCGCTCCGATCCTCGAGAAACGGCAATCGATTCAGCGGGGAAAAATTCACGTTATCGAATGGCAATGCGGTTTTTTTTTCACGGTGTCACCTTCTATGGAAAAATACTATATGGACTCGTTCCAGCTGGTGCACCACGGTTGTCGACATTTTCAGCGAGACAGTAGCTCTGCGTGTTTGTGATACGCGTGCTACTTAATTGCCAGGTACAACGTTTAGGTGCACTTGTTTCGTAATGCTGATAATAAATTGGAGCTGCTTGGTGAACAGCACGAATATGACACTTGAGATATTAGTTTAAAGATTGGGTTTGATTTCAGTCTAGATAGTTTTTTGTTTATCTTAAGATGACATTTATGAATGGTAAATTTTTCTAAAATCTAAAATGCCGAACAATTATAATTATTATTGAAACTTCTATTAGTATTCAGTATCTTTTAGAAGGGTAGGCCCAGAATTTGTTATTTTTTTGCCATCTTTGTGTGTGATTTTCAAGCAAAATACGCGTAAAAAGGAGGTGAATTTATTTGCCAATCTGGTAACATGTAACACGTAACGTGTTACGTTATTAAACCTGTCCGCCACGGTGTGTAAGTTCGAACTGGAGTAATGTCCGATAGCCAAATTATTCGCGTGCGAATTCCCTGTAGACTCCTTTCACTCGCAGGCAGACCCTATATTTTCTGGAGTTTTCATGCATAACGTGTTTTCGTCAGGCAGATTGGTATGAACTGCCCCATGTAGGTACGCTGATTAACAGTTCCTACTTGAAAATCTGGTTTGCTGGAAAGAAATTGTAACGGATGAACGGTGTAAAATAAAACAACTTTATCTACCGTTTGGAATCAGGCACGGGAAAGTCTGATTGCATATTATCGCTAGAAAGTATTTGATTCCCAGTGTTGGAATATTATTTTAAGTAGTACATATGAATATTTTCATATTTTGTGTGATAAGGAACTGACTGTATTTGCTTGCAAAATTTAGAGTTTATTGTAAAAAATAGGATTGCCATTTTCTGAATGAATTATTTATGATTTAATGAGGAATGAAAACTGGAAAAAACCATTAACAAGCCTTATCAATTTTGTTCAGAAATATAAATCTATTAAAGTTTAAATTACAAAACACAGGTTCATTAATTAATGATTTATTTATACACTAATCTATTTTGATCGTGTGTTCACAGGATGTCAATTTTATCCAGTAGGAGAATACCTGAAGTTTGTCAGGGTACCAGAGAACTTAGCAAAAGGTACTGAGATCCTGTCTTTAGAGGCTCATCCAAGAAATCACATCTCAATTATGCCAGTGGACAAGGTGAGTGCTTTGTTACTTCATTTTCTTTTCTGTCGAGCTATTCCACTTAAAATTGTCGCTTTTTCAACGCACTGTGTAATCATCGGGCAAACAGGATGAGCTTGAAATTATGTCTCCTGACATTAACCCTTATCAATCCAAGTGACAGTAGTATTGCATCTAGAGGTAGAGAAACCTTGTTAGCATATAAATTATTATTAATAATTTCCGTTACTGAAAACTATCAATGTTTCTCTAGCTCTATCTTCCACCATTTCTGTACAATTACTTTGAGTTTAAAATTAACTTTTAGGCGTTGATAATTTATTTTAACCTATATTAATATTTTTATCTCGATTGAGATAAATTGTTTCTTCCCTTTCTAAATACATTGCTTCCTATTATAAAATAGTGCAATTTTCCCACAGGAGCTAATGAATTAGGGGTAATTAAATAATCTGTCTTCAATTCGATTGAATAATATTTCTCTATGGTTCCAGTTTCTTTCCTCGGCGAAAGTGAATTTATAAATGTTGGATTCCGGTTTTATTGACGTGTGATAAGTTCGCGCAACGTATGCGATGGAGAGATTATTAATAACATAACTTATTTACATATGATATAATATTATGGTTGTAATACAATATAACAATAATTTTTTTCAATTTAAGAAAAAATAATCTTACAAAGTCATCGGTGTAACAAAAATTTAATTGTAAAAGACTCTCTAAATTGAAGAGGAGTCTACATTTCAAACATGAACGAAACAAGTACATTTCGGTGTCGCGTTTACCGTTGACCGACGACGATTAATGAACCAAGAAGAAAATAATTGCATTCAAGTTCCCTGTTCACCGTTCAACGAGTATGTGCTATTATCCTGCAGTCTGACTCGCAATTGTTACAGGACGAAGACGCCCGTTTCTTCGCGTACAAGGAGGCGAACAGGACCCATGTTTCACTGGTATTGGCTCAATCATTGGAGGACCTGGTGGACGCGGAGGCACCTAGAAATCTGCTCAAGTTCCGCGTGGTGTGCGATTACTCCGATGGCGGTGATTCTCTGGTAAATTGTAGAAAGTACACTCCACTAGATCGATTTCCTTAATCATTATAGTTTCTTCATTGACCAATGTGCCTCTGATATTACGAAATTACCTTTCGTTAACGTTTCACGGTTATTTGAACGACGTTCTACTGTAACCGAACTCTTCTTAATTCTAATTAGACCATAATTGGATCATCGAGTTAGCCCACTTATTAGTTTTCAATTAAGGACACTGATTTCGAAAGCAGCACACAAAATTATTATATTAAATACTGGATCTCCATTTTGGGGTAATTTAACCTGAACGGTGCAGGGGGGTTAATAGTTAGCATACAAGTAATAAAATATTAATTTTAGTATTCTTAAATGAATACTGTGAGTCAAATTTGTGTAACGAAGCTTTTTTGAGCAAGATATCGCGTTGTTTCGAATAATTCCCTTGATGTATCCAGCTTTTCCCCCAGAAATCTAGTTTCTTTCCCGTAGAGGTGCGTGGTAGCGAGTTAGAGTAACTGGAGCGTGCAGGTACCGGTCTCGATACGACAAACGGTCCTTTACTACCGGTTTCCCGGCTCTGTCACGTGTTAATCAGCGTTTATGCAACTATTTCGACGGAATGCCACGAAACCGTTATGATATAGATTACCGTTTTTACGAATCAACGCTCTGCACCGGTGTTAATTATTCTTACGCGCTACGCCGTCGATTTCGCGCTCGCTCGAGAACCCTTTCGTTCGCTTTTAAGAAAATTGCCTGTTGTTTGCTTGTGCATATTTTCAATTCTACCGACTGGTTCGCAGTTTTATGCAGCGACACGTTTTCAGTGGGCTGCTGTATTTAAAGGATTGCTTTATGTAGCTGCAAAACCAGTAGCATGTTTATGATTGCATCGGCTCTTTTGATATTTAAATTTTTCTAAATTGGATGTGGCTTTGAAAAGGTTGCCTCTTTTTTTTGCTAATTACGAGAGAAATATGAAATATTCAAACGACTAATTGTCTGTGCTGTTTCACTGTGAAATTTTTAATAATATTGACTTTGATAAACTTAATTTTTTACACGAACCAACCCCTTAACTTATAATTATTTTGCTAAAAATAAAAGTTTCAAATTATTCATGGAGTATGGAACCACTGAAAATTTTACACTGTACACAGTACAGTATTTCCAGGCAAAGGAATTTTAACTGGATGCGTATCATCGTTCATACGAATGTGCACGTCGCGTTTTTCTTCAAAATTAATTCCCCGCTTTTCAAAACAGGCTTGTAGATCGTTGTTTTTTACGTGTATGCAATAAAACTGGTAGTATATGTATGAAGTACCGTTGTTACGCAGTGTTGGACCTTTTTCTGTTGCGACAGATCAGATGGAACGTTTTCATGCGTTAATGCAATCTCGGCAAATAAATCTGAAGTAATACTGTTATACGTCCCATCTCGTTGCTGATATTAAATGTTGAAGAGGACAGGGAAGAGGGGACGTAGATAGATAACGGGTGTAGGAGAGAGGAGAATATTAAAATCGATCCAACGGATAGGACTTCACAGATAGAAGTGCCTTTTTTACTTGTTTCGTGTAAATTGTTTAGTGCCTACTGGAGATGCAGTAATATTTTCAACTAATATTTTTACCAGACTTTCTTATGTCGCTTTATGTACTCGAGCAATTTACATAAAGTGATTTGTGCATACAAATTTTCATAAATACGCTGAATTGATAGACTGTTTATAAAATTCCTATTCGAATTTTTATTCACACCTATGGAAATTAACTTTAGTGCAGTAGGAAGTAATAAAAATGACCAAAGGAAGCTGTATCAGATAGCTGTCAGTCAATATGACAGCTAGTACGATGTAAAAGTGTGTTGATATACTTTATGATGTAAAGTAGAAATTGATGCATCATTACTTAAATTTCCTGTTGTTTTAGCATAGACCAAAAGACATCGCGTGAGATCATTTCCAGTCGGAAGCTGCGTAGAAACAGATGCTGAAAATTGCAGATTTTCTCCTTCTTTTCCGGAAATCATTCTTCCTACTATCTGAGTTTTCATTTCTTTCTTTGTATATTTACTGTCAAACGTTCTTCTTTTTACCTGACGTTTTTTATTCTTGAAAATCTCTTACATATGGAATTACTATTAATGTAAAGTAAGTGTAAAGTAGTGAAAAGTAGAAGAAGAAGATAATATCAGATGCTGGTTCAGAACGCCCAATTTTTCGAAGATGCTCAGGCTATGCAGCTGATGTATCAACACTTATGGTTGTAGGTGACGTCCCACCTGTCAGTGACAGTCTACGTGGAGGACATAAACGATCATGCACCGCAATTTGTCGATGCGCCTTACCATGTAACCGTGGACGAGCTAACCCCAGTCGGTGAGATGAACCGCATACAAACTAGTCTTAACTTCAACTCTGTTCAGTACATTAATATCAATTATTATTCAGAAGCCATATGCAATTATGCCACCTGCTGCAAACAGAAAAATTTATACTTTTTTTTCTGAATATACTTTCATTTTGCTTTCTGAGCGGTTTCACCAAAAGATCGGTTTAATCTTCCTCGTTCACGGTATCGGAACCGAAACCGATTTCAAAATTGAACGAGAAAGCTTAAACGCGATCAACGGAACGTTCCACGGCCGATTGGAGGCGTGGAAAGCGTAAGGTAACCAAAAATCAATCGAATTTCGCGTTTCGAATCGCAGGTGTCACGATATTCCGTGGGATTCACGCGATCGACGGGGACAAGCCTAACACACCGAACAGTGATATCCACTACGCGATAGTGAAAGGCAACGAGCAGGGCAAATTTTCACTGGAATCCGGCCACAGAACCGCTCTTATACTTCGTAAACCGGTGGACTACGACAACGGCGATCGAGAGTTCACGCTGGTCATTGCGGCCACGGTGAGTACACGATATGATATTGCACGCAGCGATCCTTCCAGTAGAAAAGTCGAGCCACGGTGAAAGTTCTTCAACGTCGACGTTACCGCTGTAATTTATCGTAACGAGCGTCTTGTTTTAGTTCTACTTCGAGGTGGATTTTCAATTTGTAACTTGCCGAAAGTAGAGTATATATAATAATAGCTTGTTTCACCATACATTTCTCTTAGAATTGGTCAGGTCCGTCCGAGACCCCCTGCAGTTTAACACTTTTGCTACCAGTACTCGGTTGGAAATTCGTTCATCATACGAGACTCTAGAAATTCATTGATACATTTTAGGATCGAGGAGTACCAGCTAGATCTACAAATACCACCGTGAAGATCACAATCGTGGACAACGATGATCTTGATCCTAAGTTCACGCGGGACGTGTACAAGGCAAAGATTTACGAATTCTATCCAATGCCGGTGAGTATCGAGCTAACATTTCTTTATAGGAATTGAAAGACTGTAATTTACTGATATTTGTATTATTCTTCTTTTTTTTTAAATATTGAGCTAAGGCAGTGGTTATGGCGGTATAGTCACTCTTGGTATTAAAAGAGTTAAAAGCGATCTTTACACCATATTTTGAACAATAGATCTGCGATACAACACATTAATCAGATAATCAACTGATAATATCGCGATGCTGCAATCGTATGATGCAGCAACAGAGCACATCACGGTATAATTGTATAAAAGCAGCGATAATTAAGCGGCAGGAGAGATTAGTTAATTATGCAATCGCGAAGCGGCTTCGCCATTTACGCTAGATATATCCGCCGGCAATGACCGCGTCAACGCTGGATGATCGTCGATGGAAGTCGCATATTACGGAACAAACGAACCCCAGAAACTTTCTACGTAGCCATCGAGGCGCATCGCTTCCTCCACTCATATGACTTGTACGACATTAACCCTTGGACGACAGTATTTTTCTTTTTTTATTTCATTAAACTCCAAATATTTAGGTTTATTGCATTCAGTGCTAAACTATGAGGAAGTAGTATTTATGTTCAAGGAGCCTTCATAAAATTTGGAAAAATAAGAAAACGTGTTCAATTTATAATCAATGGTAAAAAAAGTTTCAAGCGTTTCTGCTTAGTTAATTAGAAACTTGAAAACGACTGTCATAAACATATCTTCATATTTAACATCTCTGTACATTGACACCATGCAGAGTTGCATTTTGATGAAGAAACGCAAAATCTCTAGCTTGTCCCTGTTAAATACGAAGTTGTCGAAGCGATATAAATAAGCAGAAACGATTAATTCAACGCTTTCCAAGTGCGTCGCGTTCTCGAGCATTAGCCGACACGTAATCGCAGCCGAATAAATCGTCGAAGCGGTGTGCATGCTCGAAAGTCGAACGCGCCGCGATATTTATCGCGAATAGAATTGCACGATCGTGTTTTCCTTCGGAACGAAATTTATACCTCAAGGTTCTCCAGCTCGCAGAAAGTATTAACCTCTGACATTCACGATGTGGCACAGCCTAGATTACGAGCGTCGCGTGTAACAGAAACGGCCAACGAGACGATTCGTCGCGACGAACGGAGCTAATAATGGTACTGAGAACAGTATCGAATTTTACGTATCACTTGACAAACTTATGCTACCTCGTGCTTTCGGTCCTGAGAAAATTCACTCGGAAAGCTTTGCGAACGTTTAACGGTGAAACTCGATTTAATGGATGTCCGTCGAGGTCTTTCGTTAAATGGATAGAGACGGTCGTTTGTGGTCTGGATTAAACTGTTCCTCCGGGATGGAGTGTTAAGAAGTAAATAGTTGCCGGGATATTTCCGAAGAATCTTAGGGTGGTGGGTTGTGATTTAGTTTCGGCTTTTGCCAGTCCAATTGATGATTTTGTTTTGGTTCTTCTATTTTTTGTACAAAAATCAATATTGACCTTGTATATTGTCATATTGTATTTAGAGTTGAACGAAAGTAACGAAGTAGTAAAGATACTCCTCTTTATGCAGAGTGAATGTTCATTGACATATGACCCAGCAGGAATGACGGAACACGTACAAGTACTTATTCGCCGCTGGGGATATGAGTATACCGTGAAAGTGACAGGATCGCAATAGTCATTTATTTATTATATTGACAGAATATCGGTAAATTGATCAAATAATGAGTAGAGTTACAAGCACTAGGAATTCTTCAAGTAACACGGTCATTGTAATATTCATAAATCTATTACAGCCCATCTTTAATATATTTTCTAGGATTACCCGATCTTCATGCAGATCAACTTCACCACGCCGATCCAAGCAACCGATTGCGACCGGGATATCAACGTGGCCGTCCGTTACGACATAATATCCGGCAACGAGCGAGGTTTCTTCCATCTGGACCCGAAGAACGGTACCCTGTACCTTAAACGAGCGATCGATCTGGATGCCGAAATGATTTTACCATCGAACACTTTCACCTTGCAAATCCATGCCTCTCAGGTGGATAATCCGTTGAAGACAGCGGTGGCTAGGGTAGAGGTTGAAGTGTTGGACCTGAACGACAATCTTCCAGATTTTGAAGTGGATCTATATAATATTAGTATCGTGGAGAATCTGCCAAACGGTTTTAGCGTTTTACAAGTGATCGCCCATGATCGTGATCAAGGAGAAAATGGTCAATTTGATTACGAATTGCAAGATCCATCAGGCGCCTTCTCTGTGGATCCTAGATCAGGATGGCTGATGGTGAAGGACCAGTCGGTTCTGGATCGAGAGAAACGGGACCATTTACGAATGAAGGTTTATAATTAAAAAATTTTTAATTTGAAATAAGTTCAATAAAATAGATCCATTTCATAAGCAAACCTTATTATATAATTACAAATTAACCAGGTCCTCGCCATAGAACGAAAACCCAGCGTCGTCCTCGGTGGAAGAGGAAATGGTTCCTCCGTGGACGTCGAAGTAACGTTACTCGATGCAAACGACAACAATCCGATCTTCGTTCCCGGAAATCTTTACGAGTTGGTAGCTAGAAGTGACTACAAGGTGGGTACCGTCCTTGGACAGGTACACGCGGTCGACGAGGACCTAGGTCCAAACGGCATGGTCAGGTACAAGCTGCAGAAACCGGGAAACTCGTCCACCAGGACACCACCGTTTGCCGTAGACGAAATCACTGGTATGATCACCGTTTCCGAGAGTCCTATTCTCGAAGGAAGACACGCGATCTTCGTGGAGGCTGCGGATCAGCCGGCGAATCCAAGTGAAAGGAGATTCTCCCTGGCTGTTGTCACAGTAGATGTCTTTAGATCTGATGGTGAGAGTCTTTCTCTTTCTCGAGCTGTTTATGGTGTGCATGGGAAAACACGTGGACGCATGGAAAGCGGTCAATTAATCCCTTAAGTGGTCATGTCGTATATGTACGTCATGACCAAAGACAATATACAGTGGGAACGACGGTGAGCCATAAATTTTAAGGGATTAAAGTTGGAATAATAAAAAAAAAAGAACAGGTTCCGTCAAGCCTCTGATTATCTTCAAACGTTAAAATCCATTTAATTGATTAAATTCAGTGATAAAATGAATCTTCCTCGGCAAATCCATCTGTCATCGGTACATTATCGTAGTTTCTATTTATTCCCTCGACACGAATCACAAGAATCTAGAAAACATCTGCAGGAACAGTCTCTGTTCGACTGTGGAAATCTACAGACTCGTATCTCGAGGGTATTCCTCGAATGTAGCACAGATATTTTCCATACATCCATCGGCGAGAAAGAAGATCCTAAAATATTTCCCCGCCTAGTGTTTCACCGGATGTTTCTGAAGTAGAAGAAATTTTTATCGCACTCCAAATGATTTTCGTGCTTCATCGTATCTCGAGCATCTACGACAAATCGCGAATGAAAATGAATTTTCACGACGTTCGTTCGGTGTTGCAGGACCGGAGTCGTTGGAACCAGACTTTGTGGGTGCTCCTTACGAATTTTGGGTCGGTGCCAACGTTCCAGTCGGCACGAGCGTCGGGCAAATGCGCTTGAACGACGCTGTAAAGACCAACGATCTGATCTATGATCTCTTACACAGCTACGAAGAAGGAGGTACGTGTTTAGAAGAAATTAACTAATCAACAGGTGCATTTTCCTCACCACTTTCTAGATAAAAAAAGTATTCCAAGTTTCTATTAGGCGACTTCCAAGACCTTGAAGACTTTTTTACTTGAAATTTGAAAAAATTTAAAATAGAAATTTTAATAATTGCAATAAAGAATGATCGAATATCCATTATAGTTTATAGTGAAAAATTTACCTAATCTCGAAAAGCTTATGTCTAAGCTAATATGGAACACATGCTGCATAAACACGTGATGGAATTTCAGTTCCATTCGCCGTGGAGGAGCGTTCAGGAACGATTACGGTGGTCGACGAGATCGAACGATACGACCGATCGACCTTCGACTTCGAGGCGGTAGTCACCGACGAAAGAGAGTTGATGTTGATCACAAACGTGTCCATCCACGTGGTCGACCCCAACGACGAGCGTGGAATCTTTACGAAGTAAGTGAAACTCCCGTGTTCGCCTTATACTGCATTCTAATGAGTGAAACGCGCTTTTGTTTCTCCTCGTAACGAGGGAATTGAGATCGATGCCGAAGATAGAGCTTCCGAGGTTACGTTCGTTAGCCTTAATCACTTGGAGGACAAATTTTGTCATGGTTCAAATGAGAAAATAATATCAGGAACAATGGACAGACGATTAAAATCGCAAAGTATCTCTGATCCAAGATGTCATTTGAATAAATCTAAAGTTTAATTGTCTATTCAAGAAGTAAACTGAGATCGAAAGTTTCGAGTTACTCGGTTCACGGGTTCTCGGTGTTGCTCCGCAACAATCGATACCTACGTTGATTTCGTTTCGGTAACTCGAGCGAACTCCGCGAAAGGTCAGAAGTCGACGGCTCTGCGGAATTCTCTGTTTGCTTATCCGAAAGTCGATGGCCGTTGATTGCAGGGGAACGACCACCGCCCCTCTCGTCTTCCACGCGAAGGAAAACGTTCCTGGCACGTATATTGGGCAAGTGCTTCCTCAGAATGCCACCGGACCGACTACTACCACTGGAACCCACTTTTTTATCGTCAATCAACAGGATGTGCCTGATATCTCCATCACAGAAGACGGCTCCCTATACGCGCCTCATGGTCTTGATAGGGAGACCAAGCAGAATTACAGTATCACCGTGATCGCGGAAAGTCCACGAGGGGTTGGAGTTTTCCAAGTAAGTTGGAACTTGGTAACTTGACAATTCATTTATGGCGAGTCAGTTACTGTTGAAGGGATGTGATTGTACAAAGGGATTTTATGGATCTGGTTAACTCTTAGGTTTCAAACTGGTACATAGATTTCAAGAAGATAAAGTTTGTAAAAATGATTTTCTCACTCCATTAGGGGAAAGAAATTGATTTCTTTCTGCTAGATTTATTCCTTCCTGTTTCTTTATTTCGTTTCGACGTGAAACGTATACTATTTCCAAATAAGATATCTGCTAAGTAAGTCTCAGCCATCAGTCTGAGGGGTGAGATCGTGCGATGGGGTTCGCGGATCTCGTTAAACAGCACTTAAGGAGATTTTCTTTCGGACTGAAAGTAACGTGAAATTGATAGCGGTCGTTCGTTTCCCGGGAAAAGGATGTAGAAGGGGCAAGAAACTGTTTCAGCTAAAGATCTCGTTGAATCTGTAGATAGAAAAAAGAAACAATTAAAAAAATAATTTTTCATAGTCATTTAAATTGATTTTTTCATAATTCTTTTGTTCTTTTCTTTTCTTTTATTAATCTTGTAAATTTGTGAATTTTAATTTTGTAACCAAAAACAAGGGTAACTTCGATAGAAGCTCGACTATCTTCAAGAAACCTTGGCCTGATTCTTCGCATCTTGAACTTCGAAACGTTCTTAAACAATCTAAGTTCCATTCTGTGTCGCGAATGAACGCTGACATCCGTGCAATGGATACACCGATCCCCTTCCGTTTGACAGCAGGTGTTGAAAATATCATCCTTGAACCGCACCATGTTTGCAGATTCAACTTTCGGAATATTCGACCACCGAAGCTAATAGAAGTTCCAAGGATATAGGGATGACGTGCGAAATTTTTAATTTAAAAAATTCGAACGAAGGCCATGTACTTCGTTCAAGGATCTCTTGTTGTAGAAACAAATTTCAACTTTCATTTGTGAAATCATCGAAAGCCCTTTGTTATTACAGACAGATAACATTCGAATACATTTTGTATTTTGTATTAATACGTGCATTAATATTTGTAAATTAATAATTAAATAATTTAAGAAGAACACTGCTGAACGAGCAAATTTTCTCTAAATTATTTTAGGTAACAGTGATCGTTCTGGACGAAAATGATCACCCCCCAGTGTTCACGATGCCCTTGTACGAAGGTACGATCCTCGAGAACAGCCCAGCAGGGACGAAAGTTAACTTATCGAATCCAATAGCGGCTACGGACAAGGACGAGGGCATAAATCAAAACTTCGTGTTCAGTTTGCATGGCGAGGGTAGCGAGCTTTTCAGAATTCATCCGACGACTGGTTTAGTGTACTTCGAAGGAATCGATGACCGTACATTGGATAGAGAAACTAGAGGGGGTTACAATTTCACGATCGTTGCTAAAGATAGCGGTAAGTTTCTCCCTTCTGACTACGGGGAACAGAACTGAAATTAGTTCGAAAAGAATGCAATCGTAAAGTTTCAATGCTTACGGAACATAATGTGGTAAGAAAGTTTTATGAGCGAATGTAACTTCATACTGCCTTCTTTTCCTCTGAAAGTTTACACCCAGAAATATTTCGAAGTTGAGTAAAGTAAGAAAATCAAGTGAAGTTTGAAATATTTTATAGCCTAATGAATTCGTAAATTAATCTGAAAGATTTTATTCATATTTTTCACCTCCTTTTCCTTTCTTTTTCGGACAATTTTCCAGGAAGTCTAACTTCGGAGTCAAGGTTAATGATAACAGTAACCGACGTGAACGACAATCCTCCGAGTTTCATACGAATGATCGTATTACCGGATCAGGGTGTTCGAGTTTCAAACGAGCCCGATATCGAGCCACCGTTCGAAGGGAACGACGTGCTCGATATGAGCGAGCAAGCCACCGGAAGCAACCCTCCTAGCAGCCGTCGTTCTCCTCTTCTTCTTGTGCCGGAGAACGCGACGATCGGCGCACCGATAATACGACTACTCGCCGAGGACAAGGACGAGGGCGGGAACGCGGCGATAACGTACAGTTTGGGAAACGAGACGACTTCCGGTGACGACGTTAGATTGCGAAGGTTCGACAAGACCAACCGCAGATACTTTCACCTCGATCCAAGGTCAGCAGAGATATCGGTGGCCAGAGGACTTCCGGCTGAAACTAATATTCGTTTGCTTGTGGTGGCTAAAGACTCTGGTGGTCTTGCGGACAATATCACTATCAGGATCCACGTGGTCGATGTGAACGACCATGCGCCCATCTTCGACAAGTCCTGGTACACATTCGACGTACCTGAAGGAACCTATGCTGGATATACTCTTGGTACTGTTCAAGCTGTTGATGCTGATTTTGGAGTAAATGCAAATGTCAGCTACGAGCTGATATCAAATAATGAAAACCTAGAGAATTCGGAGAGTACCTCAAGATCCTTCGACATTGCTCCTTATCAAGGAACAATTAGAGTTAGCGGTGTTTTGGACAGAGAGACAGCGCCTACTCATAGACTCCTAGTGATGGCTCGTGATAATGGTACACCGCAATTAAGCTCAACGGTGGAAGTTGAAGTGAACGTGTTAGACGTGAACGACAATTCTCCCATGTTCTTCGGTTACGACGAGATGGAGAAAGATGAGAATGGAGATCTGTTACCGGTTTATCACGCTTCAGTGTTCGAAAACAGTCCCGTAGGCGGCCAGGTGATCAAAGTATACGCCAACGATACCGACTTCGCTGGAAACGGGAACGGTTTGATTCTCTTCGACTTGAGTCACCAGGGACATCCCGAAAAACAGTATTTCGCCATCGACAGTAAAGAGGGTACCATCACGACGATTGCCACTCTAGACTATGAAACTCAGAAGAGTCATCGATTGACGGTCACTGCTAGCGATCTCGGGACTCCGGTTAGCTTGACCTCCTCAGCGGTAGTCATCGTTACCGTATTGAACGTCGACGACGACGAAGAGGAGGCTGACAACGAGGTACATAAGACTCCTTCGTTTAAGAGTCGATATTATGAAGTGGAGGTTGAGGAAAACGTTCCTGTGCCCGTTATGGTCGCTCAGTTGGACGTGGCCGATGGCCAGCAAGGAGATCACATCAGGTACAGCATCGTTGCTGATGATAACAATGCTAGAGAGCACTTCTCGGTCGACCCGAAGAACGGCTCGTTGTATTTGATAACGGACGTGGATAGAGAGGTGAACGATCGATACGAGGCCAAGGTCAGAGTTGACAGGGTGAAGATTGGTCGCGGGATGCCCGTGATGATTTACCCGGTTGTCGGTGAAAGGCTGAATGGTCTGTCGCCTAACGAGGCCAGGGTCGTTGTCAGGGTGAAGGATGTGAACGACAATGCGCCCAGATTCAAGTCAAAGGGCCGACCCATCTTAGCTGCGGTACCCACTACTGCCCATTATGGGTATGAGGTCGTCAAGGTGGAGGTACGTATACTTGCGTGATATTCGCGCGCGCGCCAACCCTCGAAGAAAGCCGAGTTTTAATTCATTTCGCTTCTCGTGTCGCCTCTTACATTTTTTCGTCCCTTTCATCAGCGCCATCGAAGCCGTAGTTTTCTTGTCTTTCTTTTTCTTACTCTGTGTCTGTGTGTGGGTATGTGTGTTTTTTCTTTATCCCCTTCGTTTCGCCTCTTTACCCCTTCTATACCAATGTGTGCTTTCCGCTTCGGTGCAAAGGCAATTCTCGTGCGTTTTAGAAACACATGCAGGTATTTTGGGCAGGCTGTTTGTGATTATGTTAAGGTGCTAATGGAGTGGATGCAAACAGCTAATTGTTTATTATTCTTTTTATTAGAAACATTCGTTTTTATATTTGAAGGGTTCTAAATGCACTTTTATTTTAAATTTATAGAGAAGGGGGTAGTAACGTACATGTAAATATTCATTTTCTTTTTATTAATACTTGAAAAGCAAAGGTACAAGATCCATATCGTACAAGATTTAAAAGTGAATGGTGCAATATTGAGTAGGTTGTACAGGTCCTAACTACTTCAAGTATATTTGCATTACACTCTTTGAACAAATCTGAAATTCAAATCATTGCATTTAACAAAGATTATCATGGCAAGTCGTGACCAGCTTGATATTTCTTTCATCGTTTCAATCAATCTCGTTCAAGGTAGTGCTACACTTCAGAATATCAAAGGGTGACCTTGAGATACAATGAATTTCTTATCACAACACGGTATCAAAAATGAAGTGAAAATTCGGTCTCTATGCTAATAGGGTGTAACAAAAGAAAATGTCCATTCCCTTAATGGTCTATTTCGCGCACCCTAGCTACGAATCATTTCGAATTCCATTCCGAAGGCGACGAGTAAAGCAATTAATCACACGACAGGCGGAAGACCCGGACGAGGGTGCAAACGCCGAGATTCGTTACCAAATTCTTGGCCGGGAAGACGCGCCGCGATTCGCCATTGACCCACTGAGCGGTCAAGTACGATCCGTGGCGAGTTTTGGCCGTGATGCTGGACGCGTTTTCGGCTTCGATGTGAAGGCCACCGACAGACGGGGCGCCGAGGATGGTCGTAGCAGCATCGCCAACGTCTTCGTAAGTCTCATTACTTTGAAAACTTTTGCATTTTCTTCTCTTCTGCCGGTTTTAGCACCTCATCGACGAGAAATGCTGTCATAGAACATGTGTCATCTTTTATAAAAATGAAATTTTTGAAACATCCATCTGGCACAATTTCATTCTTACTCATCCTTTATATATTTTATTCATTTTTTATTAACTATCAAAGGGTTTTGATTATTTTTAACAATTCATTCTAGAAACAAATATTTCTGTTCCTCTTTTATCTGAGTTGTTTATCTAAAGGTGTACGTGCTGGACGACCAAAAGCAAGTGGTGATGGTGGTTGGTCGAAGACCCATGGATATAGAGCCTCAACTGGAGAACATCACTGCGTTAGTATAATGGAGCTTGTTGAATAGTCTGTTCGAAAGCTAGATACCTTTACGAGCTAGTTTCCACCGTGATATTTGTGTTTCTGATAGAAAGGTGTTTTATGAAGAGCATATTCTGCTTGTTAAGGTTTAATTAATGGGCTGAAAGGCTCATTGTACGGAGAGGGTGGTATGTTTGATTGTGATTGGTGAAGTAGGTCAAGCGCGTGGAATCATTTCGATTTATTTCAATTTTGGAGGAAAGACTGGTGGAACGTGTAGAGTATTTGAAACGAGAAGGCCTTGCATGGATGGATTAAAAATGAGATTTTAGAGATATCTGTAGCGAAGAAGAAATTTTGTTAACTCTCATATTAATTTATTGATATGTTTCAATATGCTATCAAATAATTATTAATTAATTTGATATAGGGTGCTGCAAAATGTGACGGGTCTGGATGTTCGAGTGAGAAAACTGGAGCCACACATTGAAAAGAATCTGATCGACACCACATCGTGAGTAAATAAATCATAAACCTGTTTAAAAGAAAAACATTTTGTATGAAATAAACAATTTACGTTTTCAGTACTGATGTTTATTTGTATGCAATTGATCCTCATTTAAATGTCATGATAGACATGGACACTTTGCATAAGTAAGTTATTAAATTAATCAGTTTTAAAGCTTTGATTTTATTCAACTTCAACGATAATTATATATTGGATGTAAAAATATATTTTTTAGCGTATTTAACACAAAGAAGATGGAAATCAAACGTGAGTTGGACGAGTACGATGTCTTAGACATCGCCGGAAGTTCTCCACGTCGGGGTAATCAACGTTACCTGTTGTCAACCCTTGAAGTGGGTGTGGTGGTGCTCGGGTGTGTCGTGTTTGTGGGCGCCCTTGTCACTGCCCTCTGTGTCACTTGCGTTCGCCGAAATAAACGGTACGAGACATAGACTTTAACTTCATAATACCACTTTCTAAACAATGTTAATATTAACGTTAACATTTGCCTACAGTCATTTCCTTCATAATTTTATCTTACCAAAATATCATCACAGCATCAATATTCTATGCTATTCATCTTAAATTTCTTCTATTTCGACTTTTTATAATCTTATCTTCAACAAAATATTTCGGGTACTATCTGAATGCATTCAAACTCAGAACACTATAAAATCTCTGGTATGTTAAAAAAAGCCTGCAAAGATAAAATTCTGTTTTTCCTTCGAGCACATTTTCTGACACGAACAATCGATGCTAACCCAAGCCGTCGAATTTCACCCTGTTAGTCGCAGACGTCGAGAGAAAGCAATGTTCTCGACCACCAGCCCGATTGGATTCGCTTTGGCAGATCCAGCCGCAACGTTGCAGAAACCGCCTCTGTTCCCGACCTTCGTGGATGGCCTTCATTACGACCCTGAACCATTCTGCACCGACATGCCGAGGCGACAGAGCATCTGCGAACACGGAGCCAACTGTGCTCGGTTCCACGCGTAAGTCCATTAATTGATGTGCAGCTGTTTTGTTAGGGTCTCACGGGCGTGCGATGCTTCATTGTCAAACGTATTAACAATTCGAGTGCGAGGAGGCAGAATCGCGTTTCTGGACGGCCTGTCTAGACCTTGCGATTCTGTGTCAATGCTGCCACCGCAACGGCGCGTATACGTTTCCCGTAGTTCGATTTTAATTTCGAATTTATACCGATCCGTCTTCGTCGCGAGAAAAGGAGGTGTAGATGGGACAGGTGCGAGGCAAGGTTGATTAAAAGCGAACCTGCGTTTTGTCATTTTCTCAACACGACACGCAGAGGTTTCTCACGTTTGCTTTAAATAGAATTTTATAAAATATTTTATGCTAATCTTCGATGTATTAGAAATAATTATTTTCTACTGCTTTTCTCATACAGACTCGGGTCACTTGTTACAGGTGGATAAAATCAGATATTTAATAATTGAAAGTTTTAATTGCAAAATTGACTAGAATTTCAAAATCTCAGTTGGAAGTAAGAGTATAAGCATTAATAGTGAAACAAGTTTGTTGGAATAGCAGTAGCAATATTGATCGCACACGGCAGTAGTAAAAGTAGCTGCAAGTAGTATAACTCGTTTGTGGTCAGACCGGCGGACGAGATTGCTGGCCAGTTCAGTGTTTATCGAATTGCGCCCACAATTTTCACTTCTCTGTATCCACATGGTAGAATCGTAATGATTTATTTACTTTTTATTGAATTATTGACCAATATTCAGAAGAATCGCTCTTCTCCAATTTATTTCAATTGAGAAAGGACAATGATAGAAAGTGGCCAGTTTTGGAACTGAACGGAAAAGAACAGTTATATCAACTCTTATAATATGAAAAATCTCAAAGGAATTTTTCTTTTTCCTTCAGTTTTAAAATTAGCCATCCTCCAGAGGATTATCCTTTCGGCAAACGCAAACAACGCGCTCGAAGTAGCCGTGGAAGCCGTGGAATTAAATAAAAACCGCGACAAGAGAGGAATGCATTTATTATGAAGGCATTCCACGGCCGGCAAGGTCGTCCGGCAATATACCAAATACTGTATCAGGGAATTCCCATATCTTTCGCGATGTCGATGCTAGAGACGGCGGGGGTGGTTGCAGGATGGGCGGTTGTAGTAAGCACGCCGGGAGGACGACAGGGACCCCGAAAGGCCTCGAGGCATCCGCGACGTCCTTGCATTCCAGCGGTCAGGATTCTGGGATCGTGGCGCGCGCCTCCTGCCACTGCAGTCACTCGTCGAGCCCCTCCAGTGGCGAGAGCAGCAAGTAAGTCGAATTACTTACCGAGCTATTCCTGCTATCTAAATTGAAAGGAGAGTTCGGCCAGATCAATCGAATGGTTATTGGAATCACCGCTGAAACTTTCAGTATTTGGTGAGTGTGTGTGTGTGTGTGTGTGCTAAGCTTTCTTTTTTTAACCCTTTTATGTAGGCAACTGAATAGGTATCCGGGTAAGTCCTTTGGGATCACTAACAATCAGCGAGCGTCTGCAAATCGTAGTCTTCTCTCTTCCATATGCTCAACAGAAGTACTAGCAATATTTATTCTCCAGGCTACATTCACTTCCTGGTTTCTTTGCAGCGGTTACGAGGACTCTCTAAAGTCCCTGCAGCGTCGTGAAAGAACGAACGACATGTCTCGTGGAAGCCACGATACATCGAGCGTGGTCGGTAGACGAGCTAACCAAGCAACCGCGAGAAGGCGGCAACGATTTAACTCCTTCTCCAACGGGGAATCCGTTTACTCCCACGAGATGACATTGCAACGAGAGCAACGTTGTTGCGTGGGCACCGAGAAGAGGCGGAAAAACGACGGGCTAACGCGCGAGCATCGTCGGGCACATTCTGAAGCGGAAAACAACATCACCGAGACGGTGATACACGAGCATCCTGGTAGTGAAATCCCGTTGTCGAGCTCCTTGCAAAATACCTCGAGCCTTCACGGTGAGTTTCCTCGACAAATTGCACTTTTTTTATTGATAATAAAGTCATCCCAATTATCTCTCCTCTTCTTCCCTTATTAGATACCTCTTTCTCTAGCTCTAAAACGATAGAAGATGGACAAAAATATTATTAAGGAAAATTCAGTAGTGTTGATTAAAATATCATGTGATTGGTGATATTTTTCATTTACAGGTATCAGATCCAGCCATATGCTCTATTAACCCTGATGAGACATTAACGAAGGAGGGGCTTTCAAAAAGGGAGCAGGATGATAGCCCTTCTGGCCATGAGTTTTTTTTTATTGTTCATAGCATTCTTCGTGAAAGGTTCTGCTGAAGCTTTTTAAAAAGTATTCGCGTTTTGCACAATGTTTCCAGTGCAGCGAAGGATACGATTAATTCCCTTTGATCATTCGTGTTGCAGTACCAGCTTGTAGCTTTCTATTGTTGATACTGTTCCTTTTTAAGAGAGTAAAATGATAACTGAAAAGCAGATCGATGAATTTGAAGTAATATTTTATTATTTTTATAATTATTAAATTTCTTTGTGAAAAACATTTTTCAGGACAGTTTCTATAGAAATTTTAATTACAGCTTCAAATAATCAACGTCTTCTTTAATTGGAAAGCATTATTTCTTACACATCACTGTAACAAATTAATTTTAAAAAAGGGCACGTTTGATCTGTTTTTTAAAATACTCATTTTCGTTGCACACGAGAAATGGGTGGAAAGTTTTCGTACTACTGATAAGGTTTGTATTTATAAGAAGTTACCATAAACGTTGAATCTTGAAAGGGAAACATTCCGATTAGCGAACTACCTAGTTGTTCGCGTAAAAGGTGTGTTATACGCAAAATGTGTCATCTCGTTGCCAAAGTACTCGTCATTAATTCGAAAGTCATTTGTTCATGTAAATATACGAGAAACTATGCCGGTACTTTGTGAACCACTATCATTATATTTTCTATAGCTATTCTTTTTATACGTGATCATCACTATTTATCGTGTAGTAATATAACATGTAAATGTTGCGTGTACAGTGCAATATACATTTTGCGTTGATGAAATGTTATCTTTCTGTAAGTTTCTTTTTCAAAGAACGTCAAACGTGGAATTTTGATTTCTGAAAAATCCTACTCTTACGAGTTCCACTTAAATTATTGTTAAAACAAATTTCATACGATTATTTCTACACTGAAGGAAAATTATCATTTTCTACGTTTGAGGTTTATCCGCAAACAAGCGAATAATTCCTTGTTTGGGTGCACAGGTGCCTTGTGAATACTCGAATCTTCTAACTACCCCTACTGAGCATATCTAAAGCAACTGTAAGAAAATGTAACATATGTACGTAATGATGTATAATTTATACAGACGGTTCGTGACGGACCGTCGGCAAATAACTGTGTTATGAATCGTTAATAAAGGTAATTAACGTAAGTTATCCAAGTCGAACGATGTTTTCGTTCAAACTTCATCCCGTTTGCACAATTTCCAGGGCAAATTACGCTTTCCTGAACGATGTTGGACTTCAAATAAAATCGACAGTTCGTGAACAAAGAAACGGACTATTTACAACCAACTGTATGACTTCATTGGCAGCAGGTCAAGATAATCAAGTTCTTCCTTTCCGGTTCCCATCCAACTTCTACCTGAATCCATCTATGTTGCTGTTTAGAGTTGGAAAATGAAAGTTATTAAAGGTATATGTTGCTATTTCTCTTCCTTTTTAATCAGATAATAATTAGTGTAATTTCTACACTAAAATGATTCAGCAATGCTTCCCACGGACTCCCAAGTACCCGTAACATTTTTCAAGCTATCTGAACCATAACACTGGCTAAAGCGATTACACGAAGACTCAAGGGCCCGAACAAATGGACCATACGGAATTTCCATCAAACGATCATGAAACATGCTTCTTGTCCTTGCCATGGAAGGTCACCTTCGCGATGGCACACCGTAATTCCCGATGGTACCTTTGGCACCTCAGGAATCTCTCCGCACGCTGATCAAATCAGCGTGGGTGTTTTAATTACTGGCAAATGAGTCGTGCGAGGAGATTCCTGGTCCCCGTGACACCGGTAGATCGTTCGATGGTCCTTGAATCTATTGCAAATGAGCCGCGTTCTAGGTCTCCTCCCGAATACCCGGAGACCTTGTGACAATGCCATTGAAACGATCTGAGAGTGTTTTCAAGTTCCTTGAAGAATCGCGATCGGTGAAAATGAATTCGCGACGGGAACGAAGAAAAATCGTCCATCGAACCATCTTCGACCTAGTGACTTGACGTCGGGACATTTGTCTGCGAAAGAGTTAATGGTAAGTTTTGTCGTGTGTTATACAAAGAATTTTTTAAATTAATTAATCATGGTGTGTTACTGGATGCTACGAATAAAATATGTTAATTTTGTATAAATAATAGGTCCAGAGAAAATTCATTGAACACCTTGGACACCGAAGGTTTTAACATATGGTTGGATGTAAAGGTATATTATAAATATTCATATTACACTAAGCTAACAAGTAATTACAGGTTTCTTGAAATTACATATTAAATGTAAGTGGTGTATACCCCTATCGATTTTACTACATCCTCAGCTGTTAATTCTTGATTTAATTTAATTATTTCTGTTCTTAATTACAGCCGATTTCAATTACATGTAATACTCGTTCTAGTTTTCATGTTCTTGATTTTCTTCGATGGTCGTAGAATTATTTATATCGTGTAGTTATATCTCCCTTAAAGTAGCAGGAACACCTAAGTATCCATTTTTTAGAAGTCGATCATGTATTTCATTCAACTTGTCGTTCATTTCAATGGTACTTTTATATTGAGTTACAAAGTCCTTTTGTATCGTGGACTCCTCCTAGGGCTTTAAATCTTAAGAAAATCCTCATTTCTTCGAGTTATACATCAAAATAACTCAAACCTAAATTTTTCTATTTAGAATGTTCTTTCCTATTATTTGCTAAATACGGTTGTAATAATCGATACTATACCTTTCCGATATCTCATAGCAAACACCATAAAATAGAGATCATTGCAAAGCTCGTTAGAATTAATTCACCCCGCAACACTATTAGCACGTACAGGCAAATTTCGATGGTTTGGAAATCGTGATATTTACGACAATTACCATAGCTCTAATGGGGAACAGAACACACGTGTTTTACATGATGTAGCCCATCATCGTCCTACGGTTCCTATGGCGATTGTCCCTGACATCATCCAACAAGGCTCGTTGTGTGGGTGGGAACAATTACAACCGGTCCAACCCATTTACAGATGATTTATTCGGTCTCTTATGGGGGGGGGGGGCCTTCCGAAGAATTAGCACACGGTGCACAGGACGACCTCGTAACACTACTTTTCCTCCTGAATGACACCATCTTTTCTACCCCTTTTGACCCTTTCGGCCGAGTTACTCCCTTCTTCTCTGTTACGTAGCATCCACAGGGCCGATAGAAAATCACGTTCAATAACGTGACCGAATTTCATCACTTTTCTCGTTTACTGATACGTTTGTTAGTTGTTAGGTATTGGGACTTGAAATAGAATAAGTTATCTCTAAGTAATCCTGAATAAAGGGTTACTTTACTATTTAATTAATGTAAAATATGTTTCATACGAGTTTGATTTATTAGGAGATATTTGATACAATGATTGAATAATTGCACTCTAAATTTTCTTCTAAAAGAACATGATTTGCATGTAGGAGCTTTGAATATTGGATGAACAATGGTTAATTTAAATCCTAATAGTCGATGCAGAAATTTCCATGCTACCATTTCCAACAGACCAGTAAAGTGATACTATTAGGATCGTATGTTCCAGGCACTAAACGATGACCCATTCGAGCACGAATTGCCTATGTAAATTCAACGCGACTGATGAGATACTAACTTTAATTGATTAAAAAATATATTCCCTTTTAACCCGAAATAATCGTTAATACTAGAAAAAAATATGGAAGAGAATAATTTAAATTCTACAAATTATTCAAAGGACAAAGAACGAAGGACATCAACTTAACTTTATAACATCATTAAACATCATCCATCCAAGCAATTCCCCAATCGAACGTTCGTATCATTATACCGATATGCAACAGTTCTAATTAAGTAAAGCGCAAAATGGCGCTAAGGGTGCATGGCCAAGGATGAACTTCTCGCGCCGTTGATCATAGCAGCATTCGATAACAATCGATATCTTGTTACCTCGATATTGGTCCAAGCACATCATTAACGTGCTTGGACAACAAGCTTGCGTCTGGTAGCCGATGTATCGAATGCGTGTTTCGGGCGTGTTATGTGTGCATTCGACGTGGGTAGCATCGACCAACTATCCAAGTTACGCTAGTCTGTCAAAGATCAACACTCGATGATGTCTACTGCTACGTTTCATAGTTCTGAGATTTTAAAAAGCTATAAATGGAAATTGGAAAGAACGACATTTAAGAAATGAATTGTTAATTCTTAAAAAAAGCTTTCAAACTTCTATCGAGAAGAATAAATGGAATCATGAAAAATTGAAAATTACCTTTCTGGAATTTGATAGAATTGAATTCTTCTTCTAACTAACTTCTCAGATGAATCAGACCGAGTGTAAACAGCTGTCATAAATCAAATAAACGTATGGTAAAATAGTTGGCACCGGTTCAAAGCAGACACACGAAATTTAAGCGGCGCTGAAATACTATAATCGATTCACACAATCCGTTACACTGATAAATTACTCGGACGATAAGATTGTTGAAGCTCGTCTAAAACCTATGCAATATTCACGCAGAATTTAGGGAAATCTTCAAAATTTGACAGATATTCATATTTTTCATTGTACTCAAGATGGGGAAATTTTATATTTCAAAGATGCGTTACATCATTTTCACTAGAATCAAATAAAATGAGCCAACAAGCTGAGCACAGATGTGAATAAATAATCCGCAGTCAGAGTGGACGGGTCAGTATCTAGTCGTAGCTCGATATTTTCCGGAAATGAGTTTCGGTCGCTCGATCCGGCTGGAACGAATCGAATTACTAGACGGTTAATAGGATCGCGAACCAGGTGTCGACAGGTTTCAAAGCAGGACGATTAACGCGAGACCTTGGCCCCGAAAAAGCGTCCCTCCGGATTCCTGGTCGTCGATATTGCCAAAGGATCGCATTTTTACGGAACACACGGAACAGAAGGAAGCTGATGGAGGAAGGAAAAGTCGAAAGCTTGCCCTTGCTCCCGTCACGGAATAAGTAGCTAATATTTCACCGAAGTATTCGAATAACGGTAGGAAAAAGACGGCATCCAGGAAACCCGGGACGATATCGTCGAACACGTGCCGTTTCGAGGAACCTTGCAACCTTCAATTTGATCTCGAAGACGCTTGAAAATCCTTCCTGGCTTAATATCCCTCTTCCTTGAGGATCGACCCGAACCGACTTTTAAGAGGATGTTGAATTTTTTCTTCAAACCCTTCTATTCTCTTCCATTGATAACTTGTACTATTTCATACAGAATCTATAATACAATCACAATGTATCTGTGAGTCACAAAAATAGTGGTATTATTATCTGAACTGCCACAGTAGAAATGGGTCAGATATATTAAACCACTTGTTTATTAAAAATAAAAAAGTTCGTACCCTGGAATAAGATAAATCAATTTTATACAAGCATAAAATCAACGAACAGAATATATTACTGCAGATGCCAGGGAAAAAGAAAAGTATCGATGGAAACTGGAATCCTATGGAATGGCAGGATTAAACGAAGTTAATTCTCAGGGATGTCAAGGATGCTCGAGGATCTTGGAATATTTTCTTTCCGCGTGACACTTCTCTGCCCGGGACGTAGGAAAGAAGCGACGAAATGAAAAGTGAACGCAATCAAAACGGACTAGCGTAAATCCGGCCAGCAACGCAGAGCACAAACAGAGGCCAAGTTTCGAACGGCCTCCGGCTAAAATCGAAGGCTGCAGTCTCGTCTTCGCGTTAAAGCCAAGCGATTCCGTCTTGTTTCGCGGACGGCAACGTATCGAGACACTGCACGAATGCTTCCACTCGTTTTCGAACTCCGTCGATTTCGGGTTACGCCGATGGAATGGAGAATATTGAATCCTCTTTTCGCTTTTACGAAAGTTGGCAGTATCGCTGGAACCGTTTCTGATTCTGGTAATCGAAAGAAATTGCTTTTCCTTCGTTTGATGGCTGTTATTGCGCCGAGATACGCGAATTTCTTTTCGATACCAAGGTGAAGGATTTGTCTTTAATTATAAAATTTATCGTCTAATAATATTTCTGGAGGGAAATAGAAAATTCGGAATTTTTTAAGACAAATGTTACGAATGCTAAGAAAATTTTTGGAATATTAAATTTTAAATGAAAGATGTAAACAATGAATGAATATCTAGACGGAGATACTAATTTTTCTCACTGTCAAACGAGCTTCCGTCT